TTTGTACCACTAAATAACATACTTTTGTTAAGCGAGACAAAATCTTATACTCTCAACTAATTATAATCACAAATATCCAACCTATAATTTTCAAGATAGCCAAGCTTATAGTATTAGTGAGTACCTACCATGTATGTCTCTTAAGTAAGTAATAAAAAAATATAATAATATTAACATTAATATTAATTATATATATTTTTTCAATATTTGTATTATGAATAATAATATTAGTTCAACATACAATACCTAACAATAAACTTGTCTAGTCAAAAAACAAATTGCAGCACCAAATCATGTTCTTGCAGAAAAAGAAATTCATTATACTTAAGAAAATGTGAATGTGCTTTACGCGAAAACTTTTAATTAAATAATTAAACTATATATGAATATTTGAATGTATCTGTTTAATGTAGCTAGCAATTAATATTAGGTAAGCATCTAATCATTTTTATTCGCTAGTTTTGAAAATTTTTTTATTTTAATTAATTTTTCGTTTAATTATAAAAAATTACCATTTTTAATTTTTTTTTTTGCTTTTTTTTTAATTGGTAAATAGATACCAAATCTAAAACGACCTACTTCATTTTACAATTTACAAATAATATGTGACAATTCTGGATCGATCTAAATTCTGTAACGATGCAGAACAATTAACTACGAATCATCCAATAACTATATATTATGTAAAGATAAATATTACAAGCTTAACATCAAAAAAAACAAAAAGGAAAGCAATATGAAGCATTAACAATATACGTTATATACATTTTATTAATGAACAAAATGATTTACATTAGTTTAAATTTTGCAAGTAAATTTAGAGATCTCTAAAAATACTAATCTATTTAAAGCAAAAAAAAATCTGAAGCATGCATCATATATTATTGAGTAATAAAATGGTTTACAATGGTTTGTAATTCATTGCAAGTAAATCTTGAGATTTTATCAGCGCTTGTAACATTAATGCATTCAATCTTGTCTACACCATTGATTCTCACTTTTCCGAAGCCCACTTTCCTGAAAAACTATTTACCCGACATCACATATATTTAGGGTTAGCATTTTGTTAGTTGTAGATATATATTTTTAGCAAATTGTTATCTGCGTGATATTGGGTAGGTGACATATTGGAAAAATAGCTTTCGGGAAATCGTACCGTAACCGTCCACACCGATTTGTCTAAATAGTGTATAGACCTTGTTTGCTTTTTCGGTTCTTTTTCTTAAGAGTCCTTTCTTAACATTTGGTAAATATACCAATATTTCATCATAAAGCTTTGACCGAGCATCTTGTTCAGAATATCAATTATTATGCATTATTTCTCTGACTTTTCTTTCATGATTTTCACTATACCAGTACCACAATGCAATTTCGTCCCTCAAACTTCTAATCGATCTACTTTTTGCTTTATTTGTTAATTTATATAAATTCGCAACATTCTTGGTGATATTTGATTGATTACTGTGCTGGATCCTTCTTCTGTATTCAGCTCATTTTCATCAACATCGTCTTCTGTTTCCTCCATATCTTCCGCACTATTTGTTATTTCTAATATAAATTTTTGAACCTTTTGTTTTCTAATAAGCTGTCTGTTGTTATTGGTGATGGTGACAGTATTATCTTCGTCGACGAATACAGGATGTAGGTGAGAATTTCTGGATCACGTGATTAATCGATCTCTGGACTAGGTTACACGGATCTCCACCCTTACCAAGTTATTATTATTTTTTTTTTATTTGATCTTTATATTTACTACTGCTTCTCTTTCTTCCGGGTTTGATTTCGCCGTTGGAGC